GGTGCGCTTTATATATGGAAAAAGTTTGAAAAATTAACGTTAACTGATATTGCGGCTTATAATCCGGTGCGGCTTTTGGTCGTGAAAATACGGTACGCGTACATATATATATAGCATATGTACATACATACCCTGCCCACACATACACGTGTGTGTGGGTATGTATGCTTACGTGTGTCTGTAAATCCCACTTTTATTATGTTTACAAATAACTCAAGGGGTTGAACAAATGTAACACACCTTCCTCCTCCTAGACCAAACTGGCTGTCATCTCACAGACTGTCACTGTGAGAATAAAATTATAGGAGACACCTTCCCCCACCACCGCATACTTTGAGTTCAGAGAAAAAAATAGGATATAAAGTCAACAAATGTCATTATTTCATTATTGCCAGCTTAATTCTGAGTCATACAGTCTTGAACTACCCAAAGTAATTAATTAGCCAAGCATAATACTAAAAATACTTTAAAAACATACTGTTTTGACATCCAGGCAGCATGCTCAAAAGTCAACTCTGCACTTCCTATTTTTTTCTTGCATAGATCTATATGTTTCCTAAATTGTTCAATTGCATCCAGTGGTGTATTATGCTGAAAACACAGGCGACAGATCTAAAAAGATGAGAAATTAGAACACTTTATAAAGGTTAGAAACTCAAATTCAGTATAATGAAATTGTATATTTATGTAGCAAGCCATATCACTTTTATGTTTTCATGTGAATCTTTCTATATCCAACCCTTAAATACCTTCATATGTTAAGAGTGCTAGGGTAATGAAAATAATCAAACTGAAAAGGCTAATAATTGAGGACTAAAAGAATGGATTCCATTCATTCCCAAATAATCTAAATGTTTAATCTCAAAGATGCAAAGAACAATGCTGAAAAATCTGGTCTCCCCAGAAGGGATAGTCTCAGATTTTTCCTATCTGAGCCAGTTTAAGGTCTGTCCACAAAGCTTTTTATCTTAAAGGCTAGTCTTTTTTTTTCCTATTGCTAGGAAGAACAGAACAGGCATCAAATGTATTCCAGAATGCTCTGAACCTGAACCACAACAAAAAAATGGTGAAGCTGTAGTCCAGTGCAGGCATCAGATTGTCTACCCCTTTGATACAGTATATGAAGAAAGGTCACGTGTTTAGCAGAAACTTTTGCCTTGCTTTTCTGCCCTTACTCTCTCCTCAACCAGCTTCAATGTATTCAACAGATTATCCTAAGATGCACATTGCCCTCAAATCACTACTTAAGAAACTCTATGGCAACTACCAAAAAGATAGCTAAAGGTAAACAAAAAACCATGATATATCTTTTTTTTTAGCAAAAATGGATGAATTATAAGTGATCCCCTATCTGTTAAGACTTCAGATTTGAAGACAAAAAGGCAATTTAGAGCATATGCGGGCTCCCACATAATTCATGGAAGACAAAGGTACTCCGAAGAGTTCTCCACATGCTCTGAACCATCTTTGTGATTTTAAATTTTAAAATGCTGCAGAAGCCTAGAACGTATGGATGAATCTTTGCAGTTTCCACGTCAACTGATTATATCAACAGTTTGATAATCAACTTTTCCTTAAATCAAAGTAGCAACACTTAGAAATCCCCATTTAAAAGTTCCACTGGCAGTGAATTTGAAGAAGTGCATATTGCAGTCATTCAAAGTAGACAATTTGCATCCCACATGTGGATCTTGGGAACCTTGACTGATCATTCTTTATCTTCAAGCTCCTGAACTACCATCTCTGATGTCTATGGAGATTCTCAATCATCTAGGTAAAAGTCCACATTCTGGACAGAGAGAATCACTAGTTTGAAAGAAGAGTAAAAGAGGCTATCAACAACACTCTCTCAACAGACAGGAAGGAATATCACCTATCTCCTGTTTACAACACAGTCCTTTCAGCAGTTCCAAGAAGATTCCAGACCCATTTGCATTGATTTAGATGACCCTGAAGGCACAGATAAACCCACAAGTGGCCTCAATGGCTCTCAGAAAGAGTGCTGAAAACCAAATAACGGCAAATGAATCCTTCCATCTCTCACTTCCCATTCAGTCAGAACTGAAGAAGCTTCTTGGATAAGAGCAAAATGTCTTCCTCAAGGAAAAAACGAAGTCTAGTTGAGATTTGAAAAGGCACTTTTGAGATACTCTCTCCAATGTGTAGACATTTGCCATCCAAATGCTTTATAAGCTAGAAGGATCAGGATTGTAACAGCCAGTGTGTAGTCTCCTTAGTTAGAAATTGCACTGGCACCTTCCTGTCACCCAACTGACTGGTTTTCTGAGAATTACTGACATATGGTCAGCAATACATTGCCTATTATCACATTCCAACATCAAGGATAAAAATGTTCTTGTCATATATATGTTTCTAGATATCATCTACAAAATTTTAATACATGTATAAATTGGTATTATTCTACCTTTAGCCTAAAAGTAGTGCAAGTAAAAATAATATAGTTGTTACCTTGTAATTTATAAATCCTGCCATAGTCTTGATTTCCAGCATATTTGTTTCATGAGCTCTCAATTCATGTACAAGATTAAAGGCAGTTTTGTAGTTTCTAAACATAAAATAGTATTCATTTGGAATATAAAATACCGTTAAACAATCCCAAAATCCCAAAGCTTCAATGATAAACATGGTAACCTTAACCCTAACTCTAACCCTTTCCTCAGTCAACAATTTTTCCAAAAGAGCACTTCTTCACATCTTTCAGGTACTCCACCATTTAATTATTGCCATCAAATTGGTGTCAACTCTTAGGTACATTTTATCTAGGATGAATCTCACTAACTTTTGATTTATTTAAGAAATTAAGAGTTGTGCTCATCATGCTGAAATGAATCAATATTGTTGGTATTATACCATAAGGCAGTTACTATCTTTGAGTGAAGTTATTTGAGGAGAAGAACATGCAGTATGTACTTAAAACCTGGAAAATAGCAGGAGGTGCTTTAACAACTACCACATATAAAATCTTTCCACTCTTCTTCCACCCATTCTCTGCCTTTGATGAACAGAGACCTTCACTTACTATTTCAGTATTTGGGGAAAAAAATACTTACTTTAGAGCATTTAATGTGTCTTGCTTCAACTCACTGAAGAATGCTATTTTGAACTGGTGTCTAACAAACAAAAGCTGTAACATAACCAATTTGCAACATTTTAATTTTAACTATAAACGTTCTAATGTAGGCAACATTAAATGAGGATCAATATCTATTCATACTTAGCTAAATAGTAAGCCTGACATGTTTTCAGTGGGTTTCAATTAATTTTGTTCACTAGCATAAGCTTTATTTTTGCTGCTAGATTGCACTTTGTAATTTGCTTTTATAGGGCTTCTAAAATTTGCATTTGGATGTTTTATCATTATATTTTACAATCTCTAGGCAATTTTAGTAAAACATCAGGATATAAATAATTTTCCCAAACTGCTTTTCATTTCTTCTTTATCTTTTTTCCTGATACACAAACAGATATACAGATGCAAACACAAGTCATTCCTTCTTCCATTTTTCAATATAATGAAACATTAATTTTCTAATCAAAACAACAGTAAAAGTAATACTTGTTAACAGAAATTAATAAACAACAGCACTGAAACATCACAAAAATGCCTTTGTGAATAAACTTTATTTTAATTGTGGTTTACCTAATGAAATGTCAATAAAGAAAATATTTTATAAGTAACTCTTATACTAATATTACCTTTTAATAATGTTACATATTTGTATTCTTTAAGATCTTACTTCTAATGCTTCATTAATAGTAGTTTACTTTATCAGTAATCTTAATAATACCTGATGTGTTGTTTTGTTCAAATATTCTTTATGAGATTTTACTCTTCGTATTTCTGTGTAGTAATAGGTCTGAGCATGTTCATAGAAAGCATTTTCTAACCTATGAAAGAAAATTGCATACTTTTTTTTAGAAACAAAAAAAATAAGACACATTTCAGAATATATATAAAATTAGTTAGGGAAAGTCCTATACAGACTGATAATGTTTCTCTGAAAGCATTCAAGTTATATTTATATTTTGCACTTAACTCCTTCTAACTATTTAAAGGATTTTAAAAGAATGATTTATGTTAACCACCCTTAAACAGTTACTATTTATTTAATGAAAATAATCTCAACTGTCTTTCTCAACTATTACATGCTTTATTTGAGGAGAATAACTACTTCTTCCCACTACTTAATAATTTTCACAAATATTTATTTAAAACTTTGCTGAAAAGTTCTCAGAAGTCCAAACTGGAAAAAATAAAAAATGGCAAATTACCACAACAAAGTATATGCTTTATATGCTTACCTAGGAATTAATTCAGAAAATGTTTATTTTAATCTGATATCCAAATAGACTATAAAGCCCATAACTCAGTGTTTTTCAACCTTTTTTGTGCAAAGGCACACTTTTTTCATGAAAAAAATCACGAGGCACACCACCAGGAACACCGAAGGAGACGCGCCGCTGGTAACACTTACCAAGTTGACAGCGCGCGTTCTCCTCGCTGCTCCGGTCCTCCGC